GGAGAAGGATTTCCAAACTTAAATTCCTGACAATATATAGCAACCTTAAGGATCCTGAAAACTACTAGAAATGCGGTTTCTCAAAGTGAAATATCAACAAAGGACATGTAGCTACTTGGATTTCCTGCAGGTACCACTTTTAAAGTGGCCTTCACCATATTCTTCTAGCTGGTAAGAAAGCTACTTAATGATGCGTAAAACTAATTATTATAAAATAAGACTGAATCTGTATGGTAGCTGTTCACAATGTGGAAAATCACACTTTTTCATGGCCTATTTTCTTTTAAAATGTGTGCCCCTTTCCCATCCTTAATGGGTTCTGTATGTGTAAAATAAATACTCTTCGCAGCAGGACCCTGGCTTGGAGGCCTTAAAACCCAATAAAAGAGTCCTGTAGTTTAATGGTCCTTAAATGCTCAACATCTTTTTCACTTAATGTAAAATCCATCTGATCTAATAGCTGTGACTGAATTATAGATATATAATTTTTTTTCTATTAAATGTTAATCTTCTGACTTGGCAGAGCAATAGATGCTCTAAATTATTAAGAAGGCAATAACCTCTCTAAACTCTTTTCAGAATTCAGAATATTCCCAGGACTGCTATCTTGAAAAAAACTGCCAGCTTGCTATAAAAATCAGGCTGGGCGTGGTGGCTCCCGCTTGTCATTCCAGCACTTCGGAAGGCTAAAGTGGTTGGATCACCTGAGGTCAGGAGTTCAAGACCAACCTGACCAACATAGTGAAACCCCATTTCTACTAAAAATACAAAAGTAGCCAGGCATGGTGGTACATGCCTGTAATCCCAGCTGCTTGGGAGGCTGAGGCAGGGGAATCACTTGAAGCCAGGAGTGGGAGGTTGTGGTGAGCCAAGGTCACACCACTCTAGCCTGGGAAACAAGAGTGAAAGTCCTTCTCAAAAGAAAAAGAAAAAAAAAATCAAGTCAATTAAGTACAATTTTATATCAAATATCAATTAGAGGGGGCACTGTTTTTACTGATGTCTTTTCTATTTTTTACTGAATGGAATATTTTATATATACATATAAATTAGACTCAGTTATATATATATATATATATATATATATATATATATATATATGAACTAGAGAAGCAACCCTCACAAGTCCTGCTCTTTTTCATTTACATATGACATTTTTGTAACCTTCTCTTTTTGGTTGAATTCATTCATCATCGATGTTTGTTCATGCAGGCATAAATAATGAAAATGCCTCTAATATATAAGTGATGTCACATGCCCAATTACACTGAACCCAAGTACCCTTATTGCCTAGGGAGCCTTGTTGGAATGCCAATCTCCGATACAGCGTGATCTTTAAAAAAAAAAAAAAAATTTGTACATTCATTACTCACTTGAGCCCAAAGGTCAATATGTTCAGTAATAATCAGAAATTATGCTAAGAATCAGGTTAATCTTTACCTGGAGAGGCTGGTCTAAATAGTCCTGTTTCAAATGGCTAAGACCAAAACATGGGAAAGAACTGAATTTCCAGCAACAGTCTGAGGTCCAGTTTCCAGTTTAGCTGGGAACAACACTGAATGAAATGACAGTTGAAATGCCTATACTAATTTTCATTTTGTAATTTGTGCACAATCTGCTGTATGGTGCAAATCCTGCCTTTATTCATCTAGTGCTTTTTTTCCTCCCTCTGAAAGTATTCATAAAACTTAGGGGCCAGGGGTAAGATCTGGTCAGCCACATCTTCCATGTTCATCACAGGCAATTCTCTTTGAACACGTATTATGGTACCAGAGGTGCTACCGTTACTTTGGTGCACAGAACCAACAAGAAGAAAAAAGATCACTAGGTTGCAGAATCCAGTGATGAGGAAAACAGAGAATAAGAAGTAACTGTCTTCTACCATGGTGAAGCAGATGTCAAAAGAAGCTTGTAACCACTGCTAAGGTCTGGCACTCCTGTAAGCAGGCACTGATGTCTCTAGTCACCATGAACACCAAAAGTTAATTTGAAACTCTTCCCTGTTTTACTTTGAAACAAGTCAAAGACCTGAACATTCAGGTAGGTTAAGAAGCACATGTGTGAGAATAGTTTTCAGGTCCTTGTCAGAGGAAAGCTGGTAACATTGGAGAAAAAGATGCTCATATTCTAAAGCTACAAGATTTTTAAAGCAGCAACAAGCCAATGCATTTATAAAGAGTAGAAAATTGTAAACCATAAAATTTGGCTAGGGTCAAGAGAAAAGATTCTAAAAAGCCATAAAAAAGACAAAGCTAAATTTATCCAGAATTCTAAAACAATGCCCATATAGATAAGTGATTACACTCATCATAATATTAAAATTTAAGATGTACAATGCATGGATATTTGATTTTCTTTTAATAGACAATTATTTATAACACTGACCCTTGATCAAAAGGAATATGCTTTTCTGAGGGGGAAGTGACATGATAACAACTATGTAAAACCAGAGTAATAAAGCTTTCAACAAAGGATTGCACTCTAATAGGAATTCAGTGATTCTCTCAGGGAGCACTCAGTACATCTTAGACAGCATCACTCTTCTTTCCTGTTGCCATATGTTCAGGTCTCACAGTCTTTCTGAACACAGCATGGCAGTGACCAGCATTGTCCATTATCTATGTTCCATTTGTTTACTAATTTAAAAGCTTTAGTCTTCAGTGTTATAAATGCAATTTCTGCCTTTGCTATCAAAATGTGAGTGAACAAGACAACATGATTAATTAAAGGAGGCACTTGATAATTTTACTCCAGATAGCTGAATGAAAATGGGTATTCTCATTTGTATTTTGGAGCCTATCGTGTCCTACTCCCAGTTGTCCCAAAGACAGTAAATAAACCAATTTAACTTGCAATTCTTTTACAAGGATGTTCAAAACACTATTCTAGAGAAACTTTGATGGTTGAAACAAAATAAAATACACGTAAGGTTCCCTTCCCATCTCTAATGTGGAAAATAAAACACTGAATATGAATATTCAGTTTAAAACTTTGCTCTATTGTAGAGCTTTATTTTTATTTTTATTTTTATTTTTTGAGATGGAGTCTCACTTTGTAACCCAAGCTGGTACAGTGGCGCGATCTTGGCTCACTACCTCTGCCTTCCCAGTTGAAGTGATTCTCCTGTCTCAGCCTCCCAAGTAGCTGGGACTACAGGCAACTGCCACCATGCCTGGCTGATTTTTGTAGTTTTAGCAGAGATGGGGTTTCACCATATGGTCGAACTCCTGACCTCAGGTGATCCACCCGCCTTGGCCTCCCAAAGTGCTGGGATTACAGGTATGCGCCACCGCGCCCGGGTACTCTTTTAATTTATATATATGTATTTTTAAATAGGTGGCCTAAAACTTGTGAAACAGAACTCATGCTGAAGGACAACATTAAACATAATAATTAGGCCGAGCGTGGTGGCTCACACCTGTAATCCCAGCACTTGGGGAGGCCGAGGCGGGTGGGTCACAGGATCAGGAGTTTGGGACCAGCCTCGCCAACACAGTGAAACCCCATCTCTACTAAAAATACAAAAATTAGCTGGGC